ATGGGGCGAATATAATTAGCCGTACGAGAGGTTGTATATGTATTCATGGCAGAGGGACTTTGTTGCATTTCCGGGGTGCGCAGTGCAACGAACCTCAGTTGATGCGGACATTGCCCGTGAAGCACTGTGTGATGCATCTGCTTTGGGCTGTCGGATTAGGTTCGCGATTGAATCGTTCGATCTGCTCCACCATGAATGGTCCAATGGCTTAGGAAATGAAGTCCCGGGCATTATCATGCAAAATTGCACATGTATTTAGAATGCTATCACCTTCATGCAAACGTATACTGACACCCCTGTCAATGCCAGGTATCGCGTGTCAAACAGTCGTTTTGGTTTCTTCAGCACCGACACTGCCATGGGTCTTACGAGTTGTCTCAAGAAGCCAACGGAGGAGAGCGGCTCAGCTGCTTTCCCCGAGGAAACTACAGCCCGCTGCAAACCCTACGGCTACGCTAGTGGAAGCCAATGCCCCGAGCGGCTCTGCCAGCTCGGGGCCGAGAGTCCAGCGGCATCTTCGAACATCATCGAGACCGAGGACAAACTGGACAGAAAAGGCGCGCTGATAGGCCTGCCCCTTATGATCCTGCGCTCACAGGTTCAGCCGCGTATGGCAGCGATACTGGCTGGATTGATGCAGATCGGGTCCGCACATGGGTTGATGAACCCACTGCGTAAGTAGACTGCCGCGCGAGCGACGGCGTCTGGGGCCCGACGCAGGACCGCGCGGACAAGAACGACAATTGGAAAATTCAAGGACATTTTGTCCATGTGACTCGCCATCAGTACGTCGCGCATCATACCAGAACTTGGCAATGGTTTAGCGTGAACGACGACGACACATTTCACCGTGATCGCGCCTTGCCGGAGCCGCCGCCACCACCTACGCCGAAGGCGAGGGCGGCAGATAAGGGCCAGGGCAAGGACATGTCAGAGAGCTGGAATTCAAGCAGAAGAAGAGACAGATATGATGATCGTCGAAGAATCCAGTACCAGTGGAACTGGCGCAATAGTGACGACTGGGATGATTCTCGGAGTTGGAGAGATGATTGGCAGAGGCAATCAAGTACAAGAAGGACCTTTGCGACGTCGTCGATGCTGGTCCGATGTTCACCCTGAAGCGGGCGCACCAGGTGCGCATGGGCTTTGTGGCCTGCGCCGACGAAGTATTTGCTCAGGCGGGGTTCGTCGGGTTGTTTCGGTCTTCCGCTCCCTGGCAACCACAATTTAGCGGTGACATGTTTTTGGGGTTCGCTCTTGTGGCTGTACGCATGCACGGGCCAGGTGGGTGGGGGGTCGGTGCGACTCTACGCATCCGGCCGCGGGGGGAGTCGACGCACCCCTTCCGCACCACCACTCTGCTGCCCGTCATGCTCTCTCGCCCCGCACTGATTGTCTCACTTCATATTGCTTGTGACGTGTATGTTGCCTGAAATCTGCTTGGCCCAAGGGCAACGGAAAAGGGGCGAGCCTGCGGCGCGCGCGCGCGTGCGTCGGCCGGCGGGCTGGCCTCCCCCCCTTCAGGGCTACCCTTTTGCTAGCTGCTAGCTTAACGGCATCATCCTTTTTCCCCATGTCATCTGCGAAGCCCACGGATCATGAGACATCAACAGAACATCTTGCAGGAATTAGGAATATTTCGGCAAACAACTATATTAGCTTCTTTGGTATACACAATGTCCAAGACGGCCTAACAGGCTCCCAAGTCCGCCCCAGGACAGCCTGAGAGGCCCCAGAGAGCGTTCCAAGACTGCCCACAAGCGCTTCAAGACGGCCGAAGAGAGCTCCAAGACGGCCCAAGACGGGCCCCTGAGGGTCTCGAAAAAAAGTTTCCAAGTGAGCCCCAAGAAGGCCACAGGAAGCCACAGGAGGTTCCCAAGAGCGCCCCCAGAAAACTCCAAGACGCCCCAAGCCCACCAAACCGGCCCAAGAGCGCCATGGGAAGGCCCAGAGGAGAGCCCCAAGACGGCCCAGAAGAGCTCCAACAGGACCCCCAGGACGGCCCAGACATGCAATACCCATTGATTTTCGCAAGGCATTTTGATAGTTATTTGTTTTGCCAAAGCCTTCGCACCAGCAGGGGTCCAAGACACTAGCCACCGACCTCGCGCCTTAACAGAAAGAGCCCGCGTTTTCCGTCTCTATGCCAAGCAGGTAAATGAAAGAGCGAGGTACGAGTGATGACGTTCAGGTGGGGCGAAGCCCTCTAGGGAGGGGTCCAGGGGAGGGGCGAGGCGCGGGTGGTTGGTCTAATGGCCCGTTTTCCTTGTTTCTTCTTCGAGTGAAGCGGCTCCCGGGCGGTTCCCATGGCATGTTTCTTCATATTTCCCGAGTGAGCCGGCAAGAGGGCTTCAGGACGGCCCAAGAGGGCCCCATAACGGGTTCAGGGGGCCCCAAGACGGCCGCAAGAGAGCCTCAGATGGCCTCTGGACGGTCCAGGAGAGTTTCGAGATGCCGAGAGGGTTTCAGGAGGTCCCAAGACGGCCCCCAGAGGCGCCCACAAAAGGCCCAACACAGTCCAAGAGGGCCCCCAAACGGGCCCAAGACGGCCCAAGAGGCCCCAACGTTCGTCCCAAGACGGCCCCGGAGGCCCCCCAAAGTGACCGAAAACGGTCCAAGAGGGCCCCTAGACGGCCCAAGAGGGCCCCCAGACGGCCCCAAGAGAGCCCAAAGATGGCCCCACGAGGCCCCCAAACGGGCCCGAAGAGGCGGTATGGGGTCTGGGCTGCTTGGATGCAGGGACTGGGCAGGCCCAAAGACGGCCCAAGAGTCCCAAAACGGAGGCCATAAACATTGATTTCCTTAGAGCTTTTGCAGGTCTTTCGGGTTCTCCCTTTTCAATCCCAGAAGGGCCCCAGACGGACCACGAGGCCCCAAAGATCGTCCCAACACGGCCCCAGAGGCGCCCCAAAGGGGCCCAACACAGTCCAAGAGGGCCCCTACACGGGCCAAAGACGGCCCAAGAGGCCCCAAAAAGGAGGAGGAGGAGGAAGAGGAGGAGGAGAAGGAGGAGGAGGAGGCGGAGGAGGAGGAAGAGTCAGGAGTCAGGAGTCAGGAGTCAGGAGTCAGGAGTCAGGAGTCAGAAGTCAGGAGCCAGGAGGAGGAGGAGAAGGAGGAGGAGGAGGAGGAGGAGGAGAAAGAGGGACGAGGAGGAGGATGAGGCAGAGGAGGACGAGGAGGAGGAGGAGGAGGGTGGAGGAGGAGGAGGAGGATAATAATATTTGGAATGCGAATAAGAGGAGGGGGAGAAGGAGGAGTAGGAGGAGGAAGAGGAGGAAGAAGAAGAGGAGGAGGATGAGGGGGAAGGCTCCCAACTGAGAGCGATGACGTAGCACGTGCTTACCAGCAAGGCTCCCAAGAGCGAGCTGTGACGCAACACGCTCTTACCACCAAGGCTCCCGAAAGCGGGCGGCAACGTACGTAACCATCTCTGGGCACGAGGACTCTGAGCAGAGATCGGCGACGCAACACGATTTTCCTAGCAAGGCTCCCAAGAGAGATCGGTAACGTAACTCGCGCATTCCAGCAAGGCTCCTAAGAACGAGCAGTGACGCAACAAGCTCTTACCACCAGGCTCCCGAGAGCGGGCGGCAACGTAAGCATCTCTGGGCACAAGGACTCTCAGCAGAGATCGGTGACGCAACAAGCTCTTCCTAGCAAGGCTCCCAAGAGAGAGCGGTGACGTAACACGCGCGTGCCAGCAAGGCTCCCAAGAACGAGAGGTGACGCAACACGCCCTTACCACCAAGGCTCCCAAGAGCGAAGGGTGCCATGAGCCATCTCGGGCAGTTTGCTGAAGCGCTCTTTCCGTTCCCGTGCTTGCCCAGGTTTAATGGCCGTCTTGGGGCCACTTCGGGCCGTCTTGGGCGCCTCTTGGGCGGTCCTGGGGCCCTTTGGGGGGCCTCTGAGGCCGTCTTGGGGCAGTCTTGGATGCCACTTCGGACGTCGTTGAGCGTAGGCGGCTCGAAAAGTTGAGAATCCCAAACACATGTTTGAAACAATATGAACAAGACATATTCTTGTTTCTACAAGGTGTTCTTGAGGGCTTGGAGGCCTACTGGGGCATATTGGCTATGTCTTCGGCCGACTGGAGGCCATCTTGGGCGTCTTGGACCGATGGTTCAGCGATTCGGGGTCCTCTTGGGCAGTATTGGGGGCCTCTTGGGGCCTGCTTGACCCGTTTGGGGGACCCTCTTCGACCCGGAAAAGTAGCGCGGGAAGACGTGGCGGGCCCACGGAGGCACGCGGCAAGCCCAAGAAGCTTTGAGACTTTGGGCCTGGGCCCCGTGCAGACTTCGAAGGATTGAGAACTGAGGCTTGAGGGAGTGGGCAAAGTGACCTGAGGACACTCCGACTCGTGTCTCAAGGGCACAGTGGCAGAAATCAGGGCACAGCCAACCCGCATCACACGGATGGGCAACCTTCCCAACGGGTACCCTGGCATCTTTGCCCCTTCGGCCCATCCTGGGCCACTTTTGTTGGCCGCGCCCCGCTCGACGAGCTTCGACATGGGCTTCCGAGGCCCTTGCAGGCTTATCGCGCATCTGTCTGCTCCGGACCGACTGTAGGAGGAGGGAGGGAGTGAGGGAGGGAGGGAGGGAGGGAGGAGGAGGAGGAGGAGGAGGAGGATGGAGTGTCGGGGCAGTCTGCTGATGGGCCCCGGCGCAGGTCTCAGGGCATGTCTCGGGGCACCGCCCCGTGCGCGGGACGGCGCTTGCTCTGCTGCACCCAGTGAGCGCTGCTCTGTCTCCGATGACAGAACGACTCGGGGGCAACGGCAGGGGGGGGGATTAGGCAGAGGGGGGGATGCATCGGCCCCCAATCGCCCATGGATCGCCGATGGGGGCCCGATGGCCCCACTCTGCACAGGAAGGTGCGGATTCATCATCGGGGGCCGATCGCCGATCTATCGGCGATGCGTCGCCCATTCGAGGTCGATGTTTCCCCCCCTAGGCCTATCCCCCCCCAATCGTTGCACCTCAATGAAAGACGGCTCCAAGGATTAACAACCGGGGCGCCAAGGCGAAAGACGCCGCGTTTGTGCCCAAAGGCGATCCAGTTTTCAGGAGGGGAGGGGGGCGACAGGAGAGCGTCTCGGTCTCGACAAGAGTTTTGTTTTGGATAAGCAGGCAGACCAGCGCAAGATGTTAGTTTTCGCCGAGGTGTCCAAGCTAGCGGCGGGAGCCCACTTCTGACAGGGTGAAGAAGTCGTCCTGAAATTGGCGTCGGTTGTTGAGCACGGCTTGTGACATCATGTTTGGCTCGGTCCCGCAAATTGGACGTCATGTGTGTAATGTCCCCCTGCGTAGGCCGAAGACGTGGTGCCCCGGACAAGTTGTTTTGCATCGTGGTGTGGTCTTGATTTGCCGGGGCGGGGGTGCGCAAACGGCCCCAAGTCGCCGAAATCGCGGGAAAGCGCCAGTCGGTACAGGCAGACCTTTAGGAAGGTGAGGTCTACATTGTTTTCGGAAGGGGACCTGTGTCCTTTTGTGGTTTATCCGCCAGTTGTCCCCTGGTGCTCCCCGCTCATCCTGGCGCACCTAAAGTACCAATGGAGCGCCGTTCTTGTTCTGAGTCTTGGCATCGCTCGGACGCGTGCATTTTTTCTCGGCGAGGGCCATCGCGGAGCATCCCGGATCATCTTGCGAAAAAATACACGCGCGGAGCCGAAAATTGCACGGGGAATGGACGCTCGAGAAATGGCAAGGAGCTTCATTGGCGAAACGTCGATCGCACTGATCAGCAGTTAGTCCAACGTTGGGCTTCAAGGGAGTTGCTCGAGTGTCACCGCAGCCACCCGATCATTGACCTGACCAATCAGCCGTGGAATAGGTCTAGGCCTCCTAGATGGGGTCGGGGCAGATGGGGTCGTAGGATTGCGCGCCGCATCGCCGATGCATCGGCGATGCGGCTCGATGTGGAGCCCGACCTGCTTCACGTCGACGTCGCCGATTCGCCGATGCATCGCCGACGTCGCCGATGCATCGCCAGCGCATCGCCAAAACATCGCCGATGCAACGCCGATGTGGCGGCGATGCGGCGGGATGCTCCGACCCCACCGACTCCGACCCAATCCAGGAGGCCTCCAGGCCCCCGAGGGGCTGGCAGATCATCCTCATCATCCTCCTGTTGCTGGTTTTTCGACACGTGTTCTTCGCTCCTCCTTCTGCTGCTGATGCTGTTGCTGCTGCCCCTCCTCTTCCTCCTCTTCGTTTTCCCTCCAAGCCTTGTGTCTTGCCTTTTTCATCACGCTGGCCATGGGGTTCGACGTTTTCCAAGGGACCCGTTTTTCGTCCTGGGTCATCGTTTGGTAGTCTGGGTCCTGGACCCCAGAAACATCACCCGCGGGCTGAACACGGCGAAATTCGCTCTCTTGAGTGTACGCCATTGCGTTCACTCGAGATTGCGGCCCTGGGAGTCCCCAGATCTCGACCCCAGAGGCCTCAGATGCCGTTGGAGGCATCTGGAGGTCCCGATGCCGTTGAAGGAGGCATGGGGAGGTCCCCCCCCGAAAAAGGGCACACGAGGAAGGAGGATGAGGAGGAAGATGAGGGAGGGTGGGCGGGGAATAGGCAGAGAAACCGCAGGAGAGGGGAGTAGGAGGAAGCAGGCAGGAATAAGGAGGATGGAGGAGGAGTTGAGGAAGAGGAGGAGGAGGAGGAGGAGGAGGAGGAGGAGGAGGAGGAGGGAGGAGGAAGAGGAGTCCAGTTTAAACCCACGAGCCATCAACGATGTTGGAATACACCATCCCTCCAAGCTCCCTCTTCATAGGCTCCTGCAACTGCTCATTTCCATTGAGGGAACAGCCTCGTTGAAAGGCAACCGTTTGAAGACCCTGAAGCATGCCAAAACATCGCTCTCGGTATTCGAACGCCACGGATCAACCTGCCTGTTGCGTCTTGACGATCCTGGATCGTGCCAGAACGCCATTCTTGGGATTCCAACCAGACACCAGAAACTGGACACCGGACAGCAGCAAGAATCGTCCGTGCCTTGATTCCAACACCGCGAATCAACGTAACTGTTGCGCCTGCAATGTCCTGAATCCTTCCCTAACAAAATGTTTGGTACGTTGATCAAATTTTATAGGCAAATGTGCGCGGCGCTAAGGCGAGAGCCACATATTGAAAACGAGTCATCATCAATCCGTTATACTCTTGCACACTTTTGAAACACAAGTGCACGGCTCTAGGCGAGAGCCACATTTTGAAAATCACCCGCCCTTCATGTGTGAAGCTTTTGCCAATCGTTAAGCTCCAGAGTCATAAATGGTGAGGACGTCTCAAGCGAAACGCCCAGCCCGCCCTAAAAACTGGCGTCGGGGTGCGACAGGGAGAAGTTGTTTATAATGAGAAGGAGTTAAGGAAGAGGCGGAGAAGGAGGAGGCGGAGGAGCAAGGCCTAAGCCTTTCGGACCTCATCCCCCCAGACCCCTGTCGAGCGGCGCGTGCCCGGTACGCAGGCGAGCTGGGCGTGCTCCGGAAGGAGCTGCGGCAGCGGGAGCGGCGGGCCGTGACGGAGGTGCTGAAGACTAAGCAGGCCCGCAGGGAGACGGCACGCCTGGTGTCGAAGGAGAAAGAGCGCAATAAACACAAACTTTTGGCTCTCAGCGCGGATTTCTTGGATCTGCGCTGGGCCCCCCTGGCGGCGCCTCCGGCGCCGCCTCTGGCGCGCTCCGCGCAGTTCATGCTTATGTCTTCGTTGTTCCTCCGACGTGGAGGCGTTGCGTATGGGGAGGAGGGGCGGTCGAGGAGGGTTGAGACAAGGACGATGGCGAGGGCGATGGCGTGGATCGAGGAGGACCGAAGCCGAGGAAGAGGATCGGAGGATTGACGATGTTGAGGTGAAGAAGAGGCTTACAGGAGGGGGAAGCAGTAGTAGTAGCAGTAGCAGTAGTAGTAGTAGTAGTAGTCGTAGTAGTAGTAGTAGTAGTAGTAGTAGTAGTGGTGGTGGAGGTGGTGGTAGTAGTAGTAGTAGTAGTCGTAGTAGTAGTAGTAGTAGTAGTAGTAGTAGTAGTAGTAGTAGTAGTAGTAGTAGTAGTAGTAGTAGTAGTAGTAGTAGTAGTAGTAGTAGTAGTAGTAGTAGTAGTAGTAGTAGTAGTAGTAGTAGTAGTAGTAGTAGTAGTAGTAGTAGTAGTAGTAGTAGTAGTAGTAGTAGTAGTAGTAGTAGTAGTAGTAGTAGTAGTAGTAGTAGTAGTAGTAGTAGTAGTAGTAGTAGTAAGAGTAGTAGTAGTAGTAGTAGTAGTAGTAGTAGTCGTAGTAGTAGTAGTAGTAGTAGTAGTAGTAGTAGTAGTAGTAGTAGTAGTAGTAGTAGTAGTAGTAGTAGTAGTAGTAGTAGTAGTAGTTAGTAGTAGTAGCAGTAGTAGTAGTAGTAGTAGTAGTAGTAGTAGTAGTAGCGTAGTAGTATAGTAGGTAGTAGTAGTAGTAGTAGTAGTAGTAGTAGTAGTAGTAGTACTAGTAGTAGTAGAGTAGTAGTAGTAGTAGTAGTAGTAGTAGTATCAGTAGTAGTAGTAGTAGTAGTAGTAGTAGCAGTAGTAGTAGTAGGAATAGTAGTAGTAGTCGTAGGAGGAGTAGTATTCCTCTTAGTAGTAGTCGTAGTAGTAGTAGTAGTAGTAGTAGTAGTAGTAGCAGTAACAGTAGTATGAGTAGTATGAGTAGTATGAGTAGTAGTAGTAGTAGTAGTAGTAGTAGTAGTAGTAGTAGTAGCAGTAGTAAGGTACTAGTTCTGGTAGTAGTAGTAGTAGTAGTAGCAGTAGTAGTAGTAGTAGCAGTAGTAGTAGTAGTAGTAGCAGGAATTGTAGTAGTAGCAGTAGTAGTAGTAGTAGCAGGAATTGTAGTAGTAGTAGTAGTCGTCGTCGTCGTCGTCGTCGTAGTAGTAGTAGTAGTAGTAGTAGTAGTAGTAGCCGTAGTCGTAGTCGTAGTCGTAGTCGTAGTAGTGGTAGTAGGGGGAGAATGGGGGAGGAGGAGGAGGAGGAAAAGAAGAAGAAGGAGGAGAACCCCTACGGCTACATCGAAGAGGAGAAGAAGGACCACAAGATCTAGACGTGGACGTCGTTTTGGTTTTCACTTTGCATTTTGCCCCATCTTCACGCCCCAGGGCGGTGACGGACCGATCTGGCTCACGGAGCTCAGCGAAAAGATATTGCCGAGGGTACCATTCGTGATTTTGCACGAGATTTTACCGCGACGTCTGATCTCGTGGCCTCAGGAGAGGGTGAGGAGAAGGACCAGCGTAAACCTATGATATATCGCCGATGTTACAATACACCGTCCTGTCCCAAGTCCCCTCCTTGTCGGTCCCTACAAGTTTTTCTTCACTGCGCGGAATGCCCCCGTGAAAGGACCAGCGCACCGTGGGCCGCAGCAGTCTAGGCGGGAGCCCCGTTTGGAAGGACACCGCCCTACATCCCTGGAGTCATGAGGAAAGCTGAGGCTTCTCTGTTCAAGGAAGTGCCAGCGACAGCTCCGTTTTGAAAAGAACAAGCGCCCTGCATCCATACAGCTGCTGCGCCAATCTTACACGTTTGGTGTTGCTTGTTGCGCCAATCCCCCTTCTCAAAGCGTCCCAGCTTGCATCCGAGTAACTCTTGTACCGCTTTGAAGCGAGTGCGCATGGAGTTTAGTTGAAAGCCACACTTGAAAACGACCGGTCCGCCATCCCGCAAACGAGTGGGCGGCGTATAGAGCCGCATTTCGGAAACCGCCAGCCCTTAAGCCACGCAATTGTTAAAAAGCGAAGCGCCCAGCCCAGCCCACGGACACGCTTGGTGGTGCGACAGGGGCTGAGGAAGGGGGATGGAGGAGGAGGGAGGGGGGAGGAACGGCGCAAGGGCTTTGGACGGCTTAGGCTGTTGATGAGCTTCCAGAGGCACTGAAGAGCACACCAGGCCCGTAAGGGTCTTCCGATCTCGGCGTCGAAAACAGCAGGGCGACGGTCGGTTGTTCCATGCGTCCGGCCACTGGGAGGCAGAGTTCCAGCCCCTGGGCCGTCAAACAGTTAGTAGTTATGCAAAGCAGGCTCCAGGGAAGGGGCCGAAGGACACCCAAGATACATCATCGATGCTGCAACGCACCCTCCCGTCCCAAGTTGCCGCATGAGTCCCAACAGTCTTCTGTTTCACTATTGGAAGCGCCCTCCTAGAATGATCAGCACCCACTGGGCTCACCGTTCAGGGCAGAGCACTCCCTTGCATATTCCTAGCCACCCGTAGGGAATACCACAGGGTATGATCACGCAGTGCAGCGAGGCGTCTTACGAAGTCCGGGCTTTGAGAAAGGATCACCCCCACTTGTGTAATTGTTGCACACGGTTTCAATTTTAGGGCACTGGCCTCTACCAAGTCCACAGCGAGAGCCCGATTTTTAAAATGAGCCGCCCTCTCCCCGTTCAGTTGTTGCACATGTTAAGTTAGATTCGTACGCTTATAGGTGTGAGGAAGTTTCAGCTTCAGGCGAGAGCCACATTTTGAAAGGAATAGTCCTCTCTCTCTCCCTGTCTCCCCTTCTCCCTCCCTCCCTCTCTCCGCATATCTCTAGCGTTATTTCGGAATGTTGTTCTCTCTCTCTCTCTCTTTGTCTCTTTCTCCCTCTCCCACTACATATAGCCCTGCGCACTGCTCGTGCCCCCCCTCACCCCTGGTGAGCGCTTTATATCGAGGTGTATGTGACTTGCACGATTTCCGCACTCGTTGCTGAAGCTTGTTTTTCTAGTAGTCTTGGGGCTCCAATTGGCAACGGTGTTCGCATCGTCTTCAACACCGCACCCACATTGTTAAACATGTCCTTCTATTCCAATACTACCCCAGATATTCAGCAACTTCCGTCCCAAATGCCACACCAGCCTCTCCAGCGCCCCCGCCTCAAGCGTTACTTGAACAAGCTGTTCAAGTCAATTGCGCTCCGTTCCCAAGGGTGTACCATCTACCTCAAAGCTTCCATCCCCAAACCACGCCCAGTATTCCGCAGCTTCCTCTCCAATTGCAGCTAGACGGTCTCCTACTACTCTACTCCCCCCGTCTCCAAGCCCCGCATCAAATTCCACAGCCTCCAGCTTCAACACAATGCCCACCATTCCACAGCCTCCTCCCCAACTGCAACTTGAAACCAACTGCATACTTAACTCTCCCCGTCTCCAGCACCACACCCCAGACTCCACAGTCTCCGTCTCCAACCCCACACCCGCTACTCTTCAGCCTCCTTTCCAAGCTTAGCTTGAAACAATTTTCCGACTTAACGCCTTTGTCTCCAACGCCACATCCAATAATCCACAAACTCCGTCGCCAGCCGCTTACCCGTTGCTCCACAGCCTGGTCCCCAATTGCTAGTTGAAGAAAACATGGGATTCAAGTCCTCTTGTCTCCAACATTACGCCCAGTACTCTACAGCCTCCGTTTCCAGGACAAAACCCACTCCACAGCCTCCTTCGCAAGTGTAACTTGAAAAAGGTCTGCCTAGTCAGTTCCCTCTGCCTCCACTTGCACACCCAATGTGCACAACCTCCGCCTCCAACGTGACACACCCTAGTTCACCGCCTCCCCCCCGAGTGCAATTTGAAAAGATTTTCCTACTCAGCCCCATGCGCCTCCAACGCCACACCCCCCAATACTCCCCAGCCTCCGTGCCCAGCACCACACCCACTACTCGGCAGCGTCCTCACCAAGGGGAACTTCAAGAGGTCATTCGACTCAACCCAGTCCGTCTCCTACACCGCACCCAAAACTCCACAGCCTCCGGCCCCACCACCCTTCACCGAGTTACCACCCGGGCGCCCGCACGCCCCGTGAACCACCCTTCCCTCTCTCGATTTCTCGCGAGGATATGGGGGTCCAAGGTGCGCGCGGATACTCACATACAAAGTACGCAATGTACAATCTGAATGTATATATATATGTATGTAAAAAATATATGGTTGATCTTATAGTTGTAAGAACTTGAGGTGTGGGCGTCAGGATGCCGAATGTGAGGCATCACGCTGGCGTGTACGATTCCGTGACACGCGGCTCAAGCTCTTGAGGGGGGGTGCCCACCCGTCGCCCGAGCGCTGGCGGCCCAGGCGCTGGCCCAGGTGCTGGCGGCTGACTCTTCGCGAGCGCTCAACACCGCGGCTGTGGTCTTGGGTGTGTCGCGGCCGCCGCCGCCGTGTCCGGACTGCTACTACACGCCTCAGTTGGTCTGCGGCCCAGGAGAGGCGGCGAAGGAGGTGGTTCGCGAGGAGTGTGCCTGTCCTTTCCCGAGGTTTGTGCTGATCGTCACGGCCGTCTTTGCCTGGAGCGTAGGCTACCTCTTTGGAGCTCAGCGCAGGGGCCTGTCTGCTAAACCGTCAAAGCGTGAGCGCCCGCCCGTTGCATCGCTCGAGGATGTTGCTCGTGACCAGTCGGCTCGGCTTCGGACTGGCAGTCTGTTTGCCCGCTCATAGACGATATGGCGAACCCTTTGCATAATCTCGATCTGGAGGAGGGTGATGTGATAGCCATGCGCGAAGGCGTTGCTGGACTTCGCATATGGCATGAGCGCATCATCCCTCTTCTCCCGCCAGGTGCC